GGTTAGCGGAGGGTGAAAAATACATGCACATATCGTGACGTAACCGCGAGCACAAATATATACGCCTCGCTTTGAAATGAGGCGCGACGAAAAAGATAAGACGCGTAAGAGGTCGTCACGTAAATAGGTATTGTGTAATTTTGGAATTATTCATCGCGAGATGAGACGAAGGAAATGCATATTACGTGCGCGCACACACACGCACACACGCGCATCGCAGATGGAGGGGGAACATGGCGAACAGGAGGCAGACAGAGAGATAGAGATAGAGAGAGAGAGAGAGAGAGAGAGAGTATGATAATAACAAAAATAGACATTTGTCGAAGACGTAAAACTTATACAAGTAGCGCCTCTATAGAAATTAAAAAATTTATTTATTGTGTGCGTGTAAATTATTTTTATTCCATTGAAAAGAAATTATATATATGCTCCTTGAAGTAAGGACTGCACGCGGAAAGGACGACCTTGTGCGCCTGGAGTCGCCTGCCGTCGCACGCGAAGGTAACGTCGACGAAGTCCTCGTCATCTCGCAGCGCCTCGAACTGGCTCGTGATGTTCGCCTGAAAGTTATTCCACCGCAAGCAAAACTGCTGCTGGCTATCCGTCATTCTCTTCGCACGCTCGACTCCCCTTCAACAACACCTACGATCACACATGTGGGGGCTAACTTATAGTACCATACGCCCGTGGGAAAAACTTAACTCTCTCATTACTACTGTAAAATAAAATGTAAAAAGAGTGAATCGATGACTGAAGAGGAAACGTACGATATAAATAATGACAATCGATATCCAGGTTGCCAGCAGCCGGGCAGAAAAATTCTCTAGGCGACGAACGGCGGTCGCGCCTCTCGCGAGGCGCGAGAAAACGGCGTGATTCGGTACTCGCCGGACATCATTTCCATCGAATCTATCCCGCGAAAAATTCGGGCCACAAGCTTTTGACGTAGAGTTCCACACGCACATTACGAAACTTGGTAAATGTTTTTTATATAAATTTAAATAGATTATACATATATATCGGACAGTTTAAATAATTCTAAAATTTGTCTATTTTTTTATATTATATAAAGAATGCGAATTTTGTATATTAAAAAGATTATCAAAATATAAAACGTCATTTTCCAATTTCATCTCGGAAATAAAATGATCGCATCATGATTCTTAAACGACTAATTCATTTAAGTGATGGAATCTATTCGAAAAATTTTTGTTCTCTCAAATGTATCGTTTATTAAAAATCAGGATTGAAAAATGGTTCTCAATTGGAATAGATTTCGATGTTAATTTACGACAATTATCTCTCTGTTCATTGATGACAATAAAAATTGCTGTAAGCTACATATATTCTTAAATTTTATATTATTCGCAATAATAAAAATTGAAATAAGGTCTTTTTTTATACGTTACGCATATCGAAAATAGAATGTACAGCGATTATACCAATATCAATGGTCGTTTCATATTCATGGCGGCGATTTACGTCATACTCCAAACGAATTATCCCTAGACGTCGCATCCAGTCGCGAAGTTTGGACGGCGCGTGCGCTATCGACAACGCGCGCCCTCGCGCCGACTGTCGAAACTGACGGCGGACGAAACGGATATCGAATTTTCGGAAATAATAAGCTACACATGCAACAATGTGCTTCGATCCTGCTGCAAGTACATACGTGCATGCGTGTTGCGTAATTACGAATGCTCGTTCATGGTATATGTGCGATGCAAAAATATGGCCGCTTCGTTGCGGAAACAAAAAACCTTGTTATCGTATCGTGTAATAAAATTAATGCAACACGAATAGCAAATTAACGAGAGATTTATAATAATATAATCAAAGGGCAAAAGAAACATTAGTTTTTTTTATTACTGGCAGAATTAACTTTTCCATTTTTACACGGGCATGTATTATATATATATATATATATA